CGCCCAAGGGCTAATTTTATTGAAATTGAAAAGATACATATAGGTTGTATGAGAGGACCCAAAAAAAGGTGTCCACCGATACGATACATCAGACACTAGCATCCTAAAAAGATTAAACATAGATAAAACACAAAAAAGGAAAAGAAAAACAAAACTTATAGGAAATAAGCTTGCAAGGCACGAGCCAGCTTGGTTTTGCCTCTGCCTCTGGTTCTAGGACCGGAGACAACTAACAAATTGTTGGGTGTCGTTCCATTACCCGAAGTTACTAAGGTATCATCCAATAAGAGTTGGGGTGTACCTCCATTCTTCTTTTTCTTTCTAAATGTGTAAACCTGTCATTCCTCATCTGACGACTGACTCATCTGATTAGTGTGGTCAACAGATTGTTGAACATATAGGAGAGAATGAGCCTCGAGCTCCTGCCTAGCATAAATAACATTTTGGTTCTGAAGATATGGTAAGCATGTCTCTTCAACACCTGAAGCATCCTGGGGACGTGGAGCTTCAATACTATCCTGATTGTCGAGCCCAAGTAAACCATCTGCCAATATATCAGTCGGAAGAACAGACAGAGTATTGTCTCCGGTAGTGGGAGGCAGAAATGGCATTGCGTCAACCGGTATTTCAATTGTTTGTGGAATGCACTCAGGGGCAGAGGAGAGACAGGTATAAAGTTGGGCAGATCCAGAAGCGTTTTTAACTTTTACTTGAAGGTTTTAAGTTTGGATGCAACTAATAACATTGAGAAGAAGAATGTCCAAACATACGGCAGTGAGTACAATAAAGTGATATCTGTTCAAGTTCTGCTTGCTGCCAAAAACCCTGATATGGTGTGTCAATCCATATTTCTTCCGAAAAAAGGTAAAGTAATATCCCTTTCTATCAAAATTCTGGCTTCTGGAGGCCGAGTTAGATTCACTGAAGGCGTGTCAGTTTTGAGGGGTTTCTTTATCGTATACCATCGCTAAAGCAAAGAGAAGCTCTTGATCAAAAAGGTGGATCTTCAGACCTGGGAAGCGCAGCCAAACAGGAATGGTAGGAGGTTCAGTACGAGGGTCAAAATCCACCGTCCATTTTAAAACTTTCATCACCTGGTTTTCTATTCGAAGAAGTCTTCTCGCAAACAAATGGGTGTAGTCTTCATCATTTGATAATTGAATTAGAATGTGGCGACCATCCAATTTACCGATCTTCCAACCCCCTTTCAGCTTCATTTGCTCAAAGTCCTTTCGAATTTGTTCAAGTTTAGGGTTTCCATAAAGAAACTTACCTACTAAGAACAGTCGGCAGGGCGCAGCTAGGGTGGAGATTTCTGCCTCAATGAGAAAGATTGCAGGTTCGTCATTTTTACGGGAAGCTTTTTTGAGAAATCCAGTTTCAATGCCAAAGGCAAAATTGTCATGGTATCGTTATATATATATA